AATGGTTGATCCAAACCTCCCAAGATGGCTGCCCTCATTTCATCTCTCTATTGCCTCACACACACGGCTATAAAGACTCACAAATGGGTATATAATGTGCAATTATGCTATAAGTACAGAATTTTTTGACAAAAAAATTCTTATAGGCAACACATGGCGTGATATCATTGGAAGGTAGGAAAAAAAAATGGAAAAACAGTCCAATCACATTTTGCCATGTCAACTTCTATACATATTCATTTAAATTTTTCCTGTACTTGAAGCTTTATTCTATAATGTGGCTAATTAATTAGGTTACATATTGGGCCAAGAAACAAAGTCAAATGGGCTGCACTTAACCAAGAATAAATGGGCTAATATCCAAGACCCAACTTCCCAAAAATGGGCCAACCCACATGTCACCATCCAATTGGGCTCATTAACTTACGCCAAGCTAAAGCCAATTGATTGTTTCTGAGTCAAGACAAGTATATGGTATCAATAAATTATTCGACATCTATTTTAATTATCATATGAATTTATTGGGTATCAAAAACCAACACCCTTAATTCATTTTAGATAGATTACCTAACGTGGAAATATATAACAAACCAAAGTGTGATCTGAATATGTCAAAAATTTGGACAACTCTACTTCATGTAGTGGTAGCAATGGACCGAGTTCGGCTCGGCTCGACCCTTAATCTCACGAGCTCTGCTCGCGCTCATGACGAGCCGAGCTAGGGCTCGACATGTTGAATTTGGGCGAGTTCGGCTCAGCCCACGAGCTCGTGGGCCGAGTCCAGCTTGAGCTCGTCCAAATTTTTTTTAAGAGTTTTACAAATAAATGAAATAATAGAAAACACTTTTTAAAAAAAAAATAAAAAGTGTTAAAAAATACAAATAATTTAATGAAAACAATTTTTTATTTTTTTATTTATATCATATTGTAATACTTTTTATAAAGTATAAAATATTTATATCATGAAGATGAATTATTTTTTGAAATACATTTACAAAAAATATATATTTTTGATTTCTTTTTAAAGTAGATAAAATGTAAACTCTCCTCCTTTATCCGGGTTTGGGACTGGTTACATCAATTTTAAATAGGCGGAGTAAAAAATTGTTCATAAACAACTTGTTGTAACGTGTACAATTTTTTAAAGAAAATTAAATTTAACGATTAAAAAATAAAGAAATTTTGATTAATATAATTAAATCAAATATCACTTACTTGACGACATGCAATTTCAGCGTATTTATCTTGTAGTCGAAAATGAGCATCCTACCAATCCTTCAAGCACATTAACGGTTCCAAAATATCTTCTTTCAGTCGACTCCTGATATCGATCAAAACCCTTTTACCTGCATAAAAAGCAGACTCCGAAACAACAGTGCTAACCGGAGGTGTCAGCAGATCTTTCGCAATTGCAGAAACAATTGACCAACGTTTTTCATACTTTCGCCAGAATTCAATTACTTTTTCTGAACTTTTTTTAGTTGTTTTGTCTGTTGACATATTATGGTTGAAGTAATTAATTAATTCGGCAGGCGTTGCATTTTGAGTTTCGATCGATATTTGATGAGATGCAAATGTAGACAACATGCACTAGATAAACACATTGCAGTTGCATTATATCTAAATGTATTAATACTTTGAAATAAATTCATTATTTCGGCATCATCTTCTTCAATTTCAGCAGAAGAAGTAGGTACAGAAGATACCCGATAATATTTGCACCCAGTCTTTCCGCATATAAATCATACATTCCACATAATGTTTGCTTTAAATTCTTATAGGTGATAGGTGTATCAAGTATTAAAGTTTTATTAATTTGATCAATTACGTATTTAGTTCCCAAAATATTATATCGGGGTCCATTGCACATGCTAAAGAAAATAACATAGGTAGTTCTCCCCAATATTTTCTAAACTTTAATTCCATAGCAATTATAATTTCACTAAAAACAGGATCATTTTTATATTTATAGAATGTTTTTGCAATTATATAAAGGTGTTCAAGCACCATACAGCTTATGGGATAATAAACGCTGAATAAAATCTTTGTAATCTCATAAAAAGATGTTAAAAGTCATTTAACTTTCAAAACTAAAATTCAATCGGATTCATTTAACATATCATCATCATCACTTCTAACGTGTCTATTATTATGAAAGTCAGTTATTAAATTTTCAAAACCTTCACATGATTTTAATAGCAAGTAAGTAGAGTTCCATCTATGATCTACGTGGCTAACAAATGTTTTAGCAGTCGTCACCTCTAGTTCGGCACAAAAATTTTCAAATACTTGTTTTCTATTAGGAGAGATTGTAATATATTAATGTATTTATAATCCTTTGAAATTTATCCTTTGTATATTTTAAACCATTTTGTACAATTAAATTCAAGATATGACACACACAATGAATATGAAACAAATACCCGCTAAAATCAGGTTGAAGTGTCCTACACAATTTATCGACGACTACTTTATTAACACTAGCATTATTAAAAGTAAAAGATTGAATTTTAGTCTCGCAATGATATTCTCTAACAATATTGATAATAGCATTATATATATTATTAGCATTGTGAGGAAACTCAATAAGTCTAAAAGCAATAATTTTTTTATGTATGCACCAAAGTGGGTCTACATAGTGTGCAATTGCAGTTATATATACTTTTTTATTAACCTCTTCCCAGATATCAGAAGTTAAAGAGATAACACTCCCATATTGTTGTAAATCCATAATTAATCGTTGTTTTGAATTATTGAAATAATTTATTGTATCGGCACGAAGAGTGTTTCGACTTACCCCAACGTACCTCGGTTGTAAATATTCTTTCATGACGAGACGAAATGTTAGTTGTCTGCAAATAGCCAGATGCAACTCAGTGACGGCAACAAATTTCACCATTTCGATTCGAGTATTGTCCTCCGAATACACCCACGTGGATAGGGGTGAAGTTGTAGAACCGGTGCCTGGACTGTCAAATTGTAATTGCGTTTGACCAACTGAAAGAAGTCCATGTCTGGCCACATATGCTTTGTAGTGGTGGTTGAGATGGGCGGTACCAATTCCTTTTTACCATATCAATCTTTGTTAGCAGTATTTACATACTGCTTTAGATTCTGCAAAGTTATCGACGACTTTTTCCGTTGAAATCAACTTAAAGTGATCCCAACATTTTGCTTATTTTTTGGCCTTTCACTTTCCCCTCGCATCTGGGATGTTTAATTCAGCATCTTCATCTTCATATTCCTCTTCGGGAACGTTAATATCATCCAAATCAATAGGATTGTTGCTTCCCTGACCATGAATGTGAATATCTTTAGATATCGGTGGGTCATTTAGATCGAAAAATTTATTTGGAAATTGACTTTGCGGCGTCCTAGGCAATTCGCCATGATGTGACCCACATCCTGTATCGAACAAGCTTTCAAAAATGAGTGTTGATCCATGTGTTTGATTGTTTATGATGAAATCTTAACTAAAAAGAATATAAATCTAGTGAGATTGTAAGAATTGAGAATTTGATGAATTAAAATTATAACTAATAAATTGTAAAAATTGAATTCATATTGTATATTTTGCAACACAAAAGAGTAAAAACTTGATAATTGATATAATAAAAGAGAATTGAGAGAGTTGGAGACTTGGATTGATAATTGATATGAAAAAAAAATTCTTTGGGGGAAGGGATATTTATAGTGAAGGGGGGAAATTTTTTTAAAAAAAAAATAATTTTAGTGACCAAACGGTCACTGAAAAAGTGACCAAAACGATCACTTTTTTAAAAAAGTGACCGTTTTGGTCACTCTACATTTGAGGGCTCGACAAGCCACGAGCCGCTTGGCTCGTGCTCGGACACGTGATTTTATGAGCCCAAGCCGTCCACGAGTCCCATTTTCACGAGTCGAGCCGACGACCCTTTTAATATCCCTAACTTCACGTCATTTGGAAAATGTATTTGTGAAATGAATGATTATAAGATTGGAAATTGATAGTCATCCCAACTGTAACACGTGCAAAATGACTGCAGATTTTTTTATATGGGAGAAGAATCTATATAATAGACAATAAAATAACAAAAGAGATATAGTTTTGGGATCTAACACATAGCAATTATATTTTTCTGACTACATGAAAAGATGTGTGCAAAAACTCTCAAAAATGTTAGATTTACTCATATATAGATAGTTATTCTAAGGTTTCAATTTATTGGAATGTCTAATTAGTGCACTGTCCAAGAAATCCAAATTTGGGATTCTTGTAGCAAGAATTGTGAAATTAATGTATTGGATTGTTTGATGGAGTAATAATCGTTATCTAGGTTAATTAACATTAGGAGTGTAATGCACTTTTACTTTATTATTTCAGTATTGATAGAAATAGTAATGATGAATCGTAATATGCGAATATATTAAAAGAAAGAGTAACGCTATTAATAGTGAAAGTTACCAATAGTCGTCCTACGTGACATATACATGATAGTTTGTTATTTGATAAATTAATATGATAATTTTTTATTATGTATTAAATAACAAACTGTCATGTGTAATGTATCAAATGAAAAATTATAATGTGTATGTCACGTAAGACGACTGTCGATAGTTTTCACTATAAATAGCATTATTCTAAGAAAAAAGTGCACGTGGTGTAATTTTCACTTTTGCGGGAAATGTTAGAACAAGCATAGCCCATTTAAAGGTTGAACCCCAACTTTAATGGCCTCCCACCGCCCCTACCCTGAAGTATCGTGAGGGAGGTAAATCGCAGGTTATGCCTCCAAGGGTATAGAGTGAAAGGCTGCTTGTATACTTGCACTTACTCAATAGTCAATTTCATATTTCAGGATTCGAACGCTTGAAACGAAAACCTCAAGTAAAGTTGGATTTATCCACCCTCACCTTTTACCACTTGGAGATGTGTCCTGGGGCACATAGTCCATTTAACAACTACGGTAGTTGGGTTAATTCACATAATTGGGCCTCCAACTAGAAAATAAAATCAGAGTCACTCTTGTGCTTAAGCCTACGCCAAGAAAGCGGTCTGGATCGTTGTAATTTGGATCCTCACAATTTGTACTAGTTGAAATCAGAAATCTTCAACCCGGTAACAGGAGGCTTCGAAAGCAGTAAAGAGATTCCGGTGTAGTGAATTTTTCTCAATATTTCTCAGACCTGAGAAGAAGAAGGGAAGAAAATGAAGATGTTGGGCGTATTGAAGGGAGAGCCGCTGGTTACAAAGCTGGCGAAGGTAGCTCAATACGGCGTGCTTCCCGGAGCTATGATTGCCGCTCTTGTCCACTCTCCTCCAGATTACATTTCACCCAAAAAAACCTCTGATTCTAAAACCCCCAGTTCTTCTTCCCATTAGATTCAAGGTGGATCTTTTGGCATTAATCGGTTCAATTATATTGCTTTGCTTTAAGTTAGGTGTTTATCGTTATCGATATTTATATTGTTGGATCCGTCGTGATTATGGCAATCTGTTGGTTTAATTTCTCTTTGGTAATTTGAAGGAAAGAAACTGGGCAAATAACATCTTAATTTATTTAGCAAACGTATGTATCTGGGTTATTAATTTAACTACTATTCAAGCAAAAAAAAAAAATGAATTTTTGACTCTGTTGCTTGCCAAATGTTTCATTTTGCGTTGGTTATATTGAGTTCTTCATTGACATGGATTTTAAAAAATGTTTGAAAAATAGTTATGTGGGAAGGTAAACAAGAGAGGAGATATTTACCCCGCCGGGGGGGGGGGGGGCCAAAGGGGGGGGGGGGGGGACCAAATTTAAGAAACTGAAAGTTTCAGATAATTCTTGACAGTTCGAATGAAAATAGCTGAACGAGGCTACGAGTGCAAGTTGAAGGTGAAAAGATATTGATAAAGAATAGGAATGGAAAGAAAATTGTGTTGGAAACAAATAGGTTGGACAAAATGAAATCCATATGGTGAATTCTTGTGCTTGTTCTCTTGGTACATTCAGCAGCTTTTCTAATATGGATTTTGGTTACCTTTTTACCATTTGTTGCCGCCCTTTTAAACATTAGTATTCAAAGGGGAAACGAAGATTTGTGAAGTGACCAACTAAAATTAGCCTAACAGCTTTCTCTATATTTTAGCCTCAAATACTGTTTTATGAAGCTTAATTTAGAGGGAACTAAGTAACTTACTGATCTACATGTTGTGCAATCACATATTTGTTGTATTGCAGAAATAAAACTTAAATTTAGTTTTCATGAATGAAGATTTGGAAAGGAGCCATGCTATCAAACTGACAGGTGCCTTCATTCTTGATGCAGGGATTTTGGCTGGTTAAACATGTATATTTTCACTTCCTCGTGATATGTTGGATTGATAGGGTATCTAATAATTGTTGCTGCCTTGCTGCTGTGTACCAGTTGTAAACAATCAGGGTACCGTTTCCGTATCTCTTAAAGAAAAGTGTTGCTTTTTTTATTATTTCATGCCAACATTTTTGAGTTTGATAATTAATTCAACCGAGCTCCTATGCGCACTTTTTTTCCCTCACTACAGCTCAAGTTATTAATCACCTGGTGAAATACTAGGTCCAATGTGGGTCATAGTTTGGGTTTACCCCCACTGCCTAGATATAGAAGAAAAGCATGTGCTTGCTCTAAGTTAGTCTGAGAATCCTTGTAGATGTATAGGCAAATATTTGGTGGCCAGCACTTCTAGCTTCTTTTGTGTCTTGATACTACCCTACCATCTAAGCAGACATGGCAATGGTTTCATGTTGATAGCATACATGTACACTGTTGCTATTTGAGTGCTTCCTCTATCTCCTTTCCATGATCTGTGCGGGCAGTTCAAATTTATGGAGAATGTGATTTTGAGAAACTACTACGACTATCTTAAGTTTGTTTCTCATATGAGAACCACCCTCCCTTAACTTATGGCTCCATCTATTAACCATGTACTTGAATTAGGAAGGTATATGAATATTTTTCCAAGGGGTAAAGGCTTTCGAGCTTAAGTGTGAAAGTGTTGGTCAGGGAACGGTAATTACTTATGTTTTGGGCTGGCCCTAAGAACTTTGAGATCCTAGGCGACTAATTAATATGAGGCCGTTGGACATATATTTTTTTTTTAATTTTTTTTAATTTTTTTTTTTATTGCAAGAGTAGCAAAACTTAAGAAAAGGGAAAGAAAATATGTAACAAGAGCAAGATGAGAACACTTGTCAACGGTTGAAAAAAGAACCTTTGATTAAATATCAATTTTTACTGCAACGATATGGTCTCTATGCCAGTTGGGCTCAGCTACTTATAGGATCAAAATCCCTATAGAAACCCTATTACAACTATTTAAAGCATGCCTTTAGCATAGTTTCTACAAACTCCAAAGACTAGTCAATCCAAGGTTGGAAGAATTATCTTTTTCCAGTTGTTTTAATATGTTTTGGCAGCTTCAATCTACCACTCGTTGATCCCTAGGAATTCTAGCAGTGTTATTTCAAAGTTTTATACAAGCTTATCATAGACAACTAAGGCTGTGAGGATGGAGAATATTCTAAAGGAAAGGCATAAATTGAAAATTTCTTACGTTCCTTAATAGAGCAATAATGCATTCATTACACTGAACTGAAGATATAATAGGTGCCACTACTGCTTAACAGAGGCAAAAACAGAGTAATAAAACCAAAATGTAACAAAGAAGAAACTTAGATTCTAACTTGGTGCTCTTTATACAACATACATTTTATTGAATATAAAGCAGTAGAGATTCCCATTTGTATATTCTTTCTCCTAATAACTTAAGATGAATAGTATTATGATTAGCTCTACCTAAACACGAAAACTATCAAGGATCAAAGAAAAGTAGATAGCACTAGAGAAGGACAATTGAAATTATTAGAAGAAATAGAGTGGCTTATAAAAGCCACTTCGAACAACTACAGCCACGAGTTGTATGTAAGGTTCAGCGAAATAGAAGTTTATATTCCCACATTTCCCAAAAAACCTGGAGAGCAATCTCAAAATGGTCTATTCGCTGCAAACCTAACCAATCAGCATCTTTTGCAAGAATTAACCACAGCAAAGAAGGATAATTGAGCACAAAAATGTAAAAATTAGAAGATAAGAATGATATGTTCCCACAAATAACAAGTGTCAAGTATTCCTTAATCCCATTGCAGAAATCTTTCACTCCATTAATGCATTTTAAATCTCTAATGAACACAATGCATTTTAAATTATCCAATCATCATACCCCGCATCCACTCACCTAAAATGCTTTCTACTCACTTCATAAAAATTTAGAATAGTTGTCGGCTATTTCAAGAAAGCATCTCGTTCTTTTTCCCTTTATTAATACCAATTAGCAGGCTGATATTTTTAGCACTAGCAGTATAACGCTCCGAACTCTTTTTCATTATTATTGTTATTTTTAAATAAAAATGAGCTCGAGGTGCTACCAATATTTTTTTTAAAATTTAAGCGGAAATATAACTTTTTATTTTAGTGATCAAAATGTGGTCGACAATTCAATAACGACAAAATAATGATTTAAAATAAAATCTTGAAATATCTCATCTCAAACTGTAAATTAAAATTCAACATAACTTGGGTATAACTAGCCTAAAAATATTTCTTCTTGAGCCAATTTATGTTATTCAACACAAGACACATAACAAGTATAATATTGATATATTTTATAAATTTTCTATAATTTTTAAATAATCGACCCTAAATAAAAGTTACGATAAATTTATCTAACTAAGACAATAAATCTATTATTATTATTTTTTTTTTTTTTTTTTTATTTTTTGCAACAAAATGGGTTAATTTATCATATTTACCTTTGGACCTTAATGTGACAACAATGCTAGACATGGGCTACCTCATTCGTAAAACGATCAATATTGATTTTTCTCCATATGAAAATATAATTAAAAGTCGGGACGTCACATCCTTTCCCCCTAAAAATAATTTCGTCCTTGAAATTACCTTATTTAGTCGAAAAGCCTAGGATACTTGACTTTTATTTCTTCTTCTTTCTCCCAAGTGGTCTCCATGACTTCATGATTTTTCCATCGAACCTTAACCAATGCGACTTATTTATTTCTTAATGCATGTACTTTCCTTTTGATAATCTCCAAAGGGCCTCTTCGTAAGTTAAGTCCTTCCGTACTTCCAAAGATTCATAGCCTATCACATGCTCGGGATCGTGCACATATTTCCTAAGCATTGATACGTGGAATACATTATGCACTGTCGATAGTCTGGGCGGCAACGCTAGGCGGTATGCTACATTTCCAATTTTGTCTAGAATTTTAAAAGGACCTATAAATCGAGGTCTCAACTTTCCCTTCTTGCCAAATCTAAGAACTCCTTTAATTGGTGCCATCTTTAGAAAGACTTTCTCACTGACTTCAAATTCTATTGACTTCCTTTGTTGGTTCACATAACTTTTCTGTCTATCTTGAGCAGACTTTATTCTATCTCTAATTTTGTCAATTGCTTGCACTGTCTTTGAAATAATTTCTAAGGCCCAAGATTCGGTTTTCTCCAACTTTATCTCAATGAACTGGTGATCTACATCTCCTGCCATAGAGGGCTTCATAAGGAGTCATGCCGATAGTAGCTTGAAAACTGTTATTATATACAAGTTCTACTAATGATAAATGAGACTTCCAACTACCTCCCAAATCTAAGACACATGCTCGGAGCATATCTTCTAAAATTTGAATTGTCCTTTTCGACTGTCCATCAGATTGGGGGTGATATGCAGTGCTGAAATTTAACTTTGTCCCCATAGCTCTTTGCATGCTTTTTCAAAATTTAGAAGTAAACCTTGGATCTCGATCTGAGATGATGGAGGCTGGAATTCCATGCAACCTAACAATTTCCTTAACATATAACTGAGCAAATTGATTCATCTTTTTTCTTTACAAACAAAACAGGTGCACCCCAAAGAGATGTACTTGGTCGGATGTAACCTTTATCCAATAATTCCTGTAATTGTATCTTTAATTCTTGAAGTTCTTTTGGCGCCATCTTGTATGGAGCTTTAGATACTGGAGATGCTTCAGGTACGGGGTCAATTGTAAACTCCAATTGCCTATCAGGTGGTACGCCAGGTAAGTTAACAGAGAATATATCACTGAAATCTCATACAATCAGCACATTACCAATGGTAAGTTCCGAATGCTGAGTTCCATGTGTATTCACCAGAAATCCCTGGCAAGATCTTTTCTTTAACATCTTTTCTGCCTTCATGACCGATACGAGTCGAGGTAAAGATTTAACTTGTACAACACAAAATTAAAACTCTTCCTCCCCAGGCTTTTGAAAAATTACTTCTTTTTCAAAACACTGAATGGTTGCATGGTTGCTTCCCAACCAATCCATTCCTAGAATGACGTCAAAGTCTTTCATGTCTAGGAGATATAGATCAGCCTTTAATTTTTTTCCCATTCATTTCTAACTTCACTGCCCTAGCGATCTGATTAGTGTTCATAAATCTACCTGATGGGATGGAAATTTCTAGAACACTATCGATTTTCTCATATGCAGCACATGATTTAGCAATAAAAGTGGTAGAAACAAATGAATGAGTAGCTCCTGAGTTTATAAGAACATATGCATGTAGTTCAGATATTAGTAGAACCTGTCATTACGTTCGAATCCTCTTTTGCCTCTTCCTGAGTTAAAGCAAAAACTTTGGCTCTCACTTTCATCCTTTGCTCAAGATCTTTTTTAGGTGGGTATGCTTTGCAATCTGGGGCAAAATGTCCTTCTTGGCCACATCGATAACACACATTTTTCCCAAATAGGCACTCTCCTCTATGCGCCTTGTTGTATTTAGGGCATTAAGGAATAACTTTATTTGGTTTTTTGGATCCTGATCCTGTATTGGCTTTCTTAAATTGTCCAAATCCTTTCCCTTTATTTGGTACATTCCACTTTCGTTTACCATAAAATTCATTACTTTTCTCAGTCATCCGATCCATTTCTAGACGATCAGAAATTGATTGAGCTCGCTGAAGTACTTCACTATAGGTAGTTGTACGGTGAGATGCCATGATTCTTCCAATTTCTGGACGCAGCCCTAGTTGAAACATCCTAGCTTTCTTTGGTTCAGTATTCACAAGATGTGTATCATACCTAGAAAGTTGTTCAAACTTTCTTTCATATTCATCAAGCGACAAGTTTCCTTGTTTGAGCTGTAAGAACTCCGCCTCTCTTCGACCCCTCAGTGATTGGGGAAAGTATTTTGTCATTACTTATTCTTTGAACTGTGCCCAAGTCATAGCACGTTGTTGTTCTTCTGTTCTAGTGCGTGAAGTAGACTCCCACTAGTGGCCTGCTGCTCCAACCAGCATAAATTCGGCACATGATACATTCTGTGCATCAGTGCATGTCGTGTGTTTGTAGATTCGTTCCAATCCTCTTAACCACTCTTCGGCTGCTAAAGGGTCTGCCTTGCCATCAAAAGGAGGAGGTTTGAATCGACGGAACTGCTCCACAATTGATCCTGTGTTGTTGGCGTTGATCGGTCGATT